CACATGACCTCTCATTACAGTGCCATTACTGCCCTGGTCCCTGGGGTCCAGTGTCCATCATGTGTCAACACACTCAGAGGTGTATGTATATCTGTCAAAGTAAAGTGGATGTAAGCATCTGGAGAAACATTTTTAGCTTAGTATGACACAGGACAAATAACTGGACTTTACAGAATGTAGTATTTTGCAATTTCCTCCATTACAAAAAGATTGACAAAGCAAAACAATGTAACAAATATTCATGTACTTTTGGCAGAATTCATGTTTCATTTTTATATGTTGTATTTCTGCAAAATCAAACAAATCGGCAACTTATGTGCCGAGAAAGGTGTATTTGATTAAAAGAAACAGAGTCTAAATAAATATGTACTTATGGTGATACAAATTAAACTGTGCTTTCAACCCTGTGACAATATGCTATTTTTGTAAAATCAGCCAGTTGTGATTAACAAAATGTGCTTGAATGCAGTTCAATGCTCAAACACAGACACTTTTCAAACTCAGCAATGCTCTGAGTGAGAGACCATAAACTCTAAGGGAGGGTGACATCACCCATAGTGGTTGGCTCTAGTCAGATGAAGCTCACGTTACAGGGCAAATTTTGGAGCCAGGTCTATATTAGGAATAGGAATTTATTTACAGACAAAATAGCAAAATAAAAATACCAGGGTCATGTACAGCGGGTAAATATGAAGATTTTAAAACCAAAATGACGAAACCCACGGCTGCAGTTACAGAGAGAGGGGTGACAGTTCTTCAATGTAATATCAAATGGAAACTGAGTCAGTGCCCCTATGGACACTTCCTATTTGGAACGTGGCAGCTAGCAGGTTAGCCATGTCCATATATATATACAGTCTATGTAAAGGACAGGTGGATTTAACTAATTGCAAAGATATATTTCAGAAGAAGCAGATCTATTCACAGCAATATAAAGACACTAAGCTTAACTCAATCAGCCTGATTCATCAGCCGGTTTCACTTCATGGAAACCGTCCAACCTCGCAGGATAAGGATTCTTTCGCTCGATGGTAAGTGGGTACTTTTTTAATTTAACCAATCACTGTTATTTGGTCGTGACGTATGTAATGCTCCAAATCCCGTAGGAAGAAATGAAATGTTTTTCCTCTTAATAAAATTCACCAAATATTCTCTTTGTTCCGGCTTTAAATCCTTGATCTCGGGAATCATTGCCAACACAGAATGTATGGCTTCATCTACATCCATCTCGACCGCTTTGTTTACTCTTGTGCTGTATCACAAAGGGGACCAGACAGGCGCTTGAGTTTGACATCATGGCTTCACAGCTCTTTGCTGATTGGCTGGTGCGCGGTCTACAACTTCCAGGGTTCATGCAAACCATCTAGTGTATTCCGATTCCTGACCTAGTCGCTGAAAAGAAATGAAATTAAGCAGAGGCACTAGGTGGCACCAGCCTGGCAGGACAAAATTGTTATCTGGCTCCAAGAAAAGTGTGGCATTATTAGTAGTATTATTATTCATTCTTTTACTTATTTATCTGCATATTGCCAACCCCCATAATAAAGCAGTTTATTTATTTATTTTTTATTTTTTTTTTTTTTGCTTTTTTTTGTCACACTAAACAAAGAATGGGGTTTCACACTGTACAATTAGCATTTGCGATCATGCTACGCTCCTCTCAGAACATGTGTATTTTGTGTTACGTTTCTTATGGAGAATATAGGTTAATTATCTGCGCTTCATTTTTCCCTGATTATGTTCAATCAAATCTTTCAGTTATTTGGAGTTTGATCGGTCTGGGCCTGAGACACAATGAGAGCCTATAATCAGAAGGACACTCCGAGAGAGAGTTAGTTTGATTACCCCTGATTAGAAATACTGCCTCTTCTCTTATCAGTGCTTCAGCCATTGAGCGCAAAGCAGGAGCAGTACCAAGGTCAATGATGAGAAAGTTCAAGCTGGCAACTTTTTCAGCTGTAATTTCAGATAAATGGGCATTTTGGGGCCAATTTTCCGCCAAAGCAAAGACTGAACAAAAGGAGCCCAGAGAAAGAGAAGGACAATTATAAAAGCTGCTGGTTAGGCTTGACCAATGAGGGTAATTAGTAAGTTTAAAAAATCTCTAAGGGAGACAAAATTGAAGTTAATTTTGATGTCCTAATTTTTAGATATTCATTTAAAAAAAAAAAAATAGTCAGATGTTGGATGTCACAAAAATGTATATACATAACACAAAATGGTCTGTAATTATACACTGACTGACTGCAGGCATGTTTTTCCCAATAGGACTAAACATTTTGATAATAATTCTTGACAATAATCCTTTGTTCAGGTTTATAAACAAATCAAAATGTCAGTTACGCTACTTTGAATGTAACTGTATGATCAACGTTTGGCATTAGCCCAAATGCCCTTAAGCATGCAATAGATATACAATAAAGACACTGTTTCTTTGTTTTAATTTCTCAAGTATAAACATGCAAGTTACGACAACTAGCAACATAAATTATAGAAGTCAAAATACAGCATTAGGTCTTATATTATGCAAAACTGACTATTGTGAGCTTTTAGTTATGTTAAAACAGTGCTTCTCAATTATTTTCTGTCACACCCCCCAGGAAGAAGAAAACATTTCACACACCCCCCCACTCCACAGAACCACTACCAAATGTGGACAAATCTCACCCTCACCTTCAGTCGCCTACATACAAGAGCAAACGTTTTAGTTGTGTCTCCAAAGCGACTCCCGGGACACACGCAGAATATGTCCATCCGTATTCCGCGCAGCACTCACCTGTGTCATGAGGCGGTCGCACCTGTGTCCTCCTCGTCTTTAAAGACCATGTTCGTGTGATAGTTTGGCAGTATCATCTCCTCTGCTATTTGGTATGCCTCCTTATATGATGCTAACAGAGCTTGCTGGTTTACTGAAGTAGCATTCACAGAGCAGGATGATTGTTGGCAATATTCGGCACATTTTCGCTCAAAAAACTGAAGCGGATTATCAGCGTGATTGGTATGTAATGTCTTTAAGCACTGTAACACTGTAATTTATATGGCTTCATGTTGTCCGCTGCCAACATTTTTAGACACAGTAAACACAGTGGTCTTTCCTCGTTTCCCACCATAGTGACAGTGAAGCCGTGTGCTACACACACTTTATATACGGTTTGTTCTCTGCACTTCATATCTCCTGCTCTGTGCTATGTGTGTGTATGCCCTGTACAAAAAAAACGACATGCGCAAATACTCCCTGCGCACACTCTGACAATGACAGCGTCACTGCCACTACTGTACTGGATGAGCAGTTACACTTGATTCTAGTAGGGCATCCCACTATTTAAAAAGTGCTGTGTTAAAACGTCCTTACCTCCTCAAAAACATACCTGGAGTTGTGTTTTGTTTCATTCACACATGTTTGAGTCATCCTGCATAATTCAGTTGTCTATCTCCAAAGCTCAGAATGCTCTGTTCCAACTTGTGATTTCATCAAGAGGTAGCTCTCAACAGCTACCTTTTACCTTTTTCTTTAGTAGAGACTGGCAATTCTAGGGCTGAAATTATCCAAATGATTCAAGTGAAAGTGTTTGGAGCACTTCCTGTATTACCACATGACATCACGAGGTGGCACAGTGTTTTCTGTTTCAGAGAAGAAGTCAGCCTAAATAAGTAGGGTTTGTGTATTTGTGGCCATACCGGCTTGTCAAAGCCTGATCCCATCAGATCTCAGAAGCTAAGCAGGGCTGGGCTTGGTTAGTAGTTGGACGGGAGACCGCTGGGAAAATCAGGTGCCACAGTGGGATGCCAGTCACAAAAAACTATCTTTGTGTCCTTAGGCAAGACACTTCACCCACATTGCCTAGTTTGAAAGTGGTGTAGCTTATAGTAGCTTACCACCACCAGGTGTGGAGTGAATGAATAATGAACTGTAAAGCGAAAGAAAGGCTGCTATATCAAACTGCTTTTTTAATCATTATTATGATTATGATTATTATTGTTATTATTATTATTATAATTAAACATGTGTGAATGAAACAAAACAAAACTTCAGGTATGTTTTTAATGAGGACACAATATTTTAACAACTCAGAAAACAGCGTAATATGGGGCCTTTAAACAGTTCTTTGTTTTTGCAGTACTCAGAAGGAACATCACTAACCCACAACACGCCTCTTAAATTGTCAAAGTCGATTAAATGTTTGTAGTAATTGCAGGTATAGAATCGTGTTCATTTCCTGCATTGGTAAAAATGCGCTTGTGTTGGAGGGATTAATGAGCTGCAATCTTGAGTTTCCTGTGTGATCGTGTGTGCAGAGCTGTGGAGGTGTTTTCTGACTGCAGTGTGTCATTTGCATGTGATTTTATCAGGTAAACATTGTAATCAGTGTGTAATAACATTCAAATCACAAGCTACAATTTTATCATCTCATTTACGACTGTCTACACATTCCCTATTCCTGCAGGATTTATTAACTACTGAGATTTTCCAGCAGAATAGGTGGGAGAAGCATGAATCAAAATATTGATATTTAGTGGTCCCATAAGAAACATAAGGTGCTAGTCTACTCATAATTCTATTTGAGATACTAAGGAATAGGCTAGATACTCTACCAATTTCAATACTTCAATGATATATTAAAATGTTCTCTTTTTTAGCAATAGAATGTTATTTTTTAACACAAAATAATAATGTTTATATTTACGACGTATTAAAATCTTCTAAAGAAGGGGAAGTGATTAAGGAACTCAAAGCAATACACCCAATCAGAGTTGACTGAATACATTACGTTAATACATGTTAAAACAGACTATTTCGGAACTTTGAGTCTAGAAAGTGCAAAAATGACAAAAAACAACTTCTATTAAATGTGATGCTCCACTATATGGATCACTAGCTGATATTTCCCCATGTACATCTGTGATCATTTCAGCATAAATTCTTCAGTCCCCATGAAATGTGTAGGTGCCCATCAGCACTTCCCTACTGTCTGTGGTACATGCAGGTGCTCAGCTCTTACTCGGAGGAAGGTGAGGTCACGGCTGCGACCGATGCTTGTGATCTCCAGATTTCCCATCACCACCTCGCAGTTCTCGTAGTACTTCCTCATTGTGCGGTACTGCATATCCAGGTCGGACAGGGTACTCAGCTTGTTCTCTGTCCCAGCACAAACTACAACAGAACACAGAAAAGATCATGTTAAAATGATCATAGCTTTTGTTTTCTTTGAAGCTATGTTCTACAGTGGTCCCTCATTATTCATGGAAAGTTATGCTTATGTAGGTTACTTTTTTTTTTAATATACATTTTTATACATGTTTTGAGTTTCATACAGATTTTGGGCCATGGCAACAGTCTGAAATCCTCAGGGTGCTTGCCTGGTGAGTCAGACACTTTGTGCTAATGCAGGAAAGTCTGGGACCCTGCTCACAGCAAATAATTTCACCATCTTTTGGCAATCCAATCATAGCTTTTTATCTGTAGCACTCACAAATGTGGAGATGAGCACTCTGAGCAATGTGTGGTTTTGTCTTGACCATAAATGTACAAAAAGCACGTTTGAACGTCAACACAACTCAATTAATACAAAACACATTTAAATAAACTACTTACATTAAACATATCCTGTAAGATGTAGGATTTAACGCAAATAGCATGCTGTACTGGGACAATTTAAAAATGCAATCTACAAAACAAGCATTTGGTTCTGTTTGCCACACCGTTTCCCCAAATAACCAGTGCGGTACTTCCAAAATAATGGCAGAGTAAATGTCCTGTGTAATGCTAGTTAAGTACTGCAGCACATTTCAGACCAAGATAAAACAAACCCAACTGTCCTCTCATTTTGGGACTATAAATGCACCAGTGTTAGCATTGTAATTGACTGTTTTTTGCATTACTCAAACAGTGCAAGAATGATGAGAAAGTGGAACATTTTATATTTTTAGTTATTCCTTTTTCAATCTAGCCTCTATGGCAAAGACTCCTAGCCAAGCAGAAACTAGCTCCTGGTTTGATTTGGGGCACAAGGTTCATTAAAGTTTGTTTTTAGTGAAAAACACAGAATAACTATGAGATCAAATGGACCTAATTGCCTGCCCCCATTGCAGTAAATAGAAGACCGGAAACCAATTTGGAGAATTTGTTACTATTTCAGACCACACACAATGTTCTGAACAACCATGAATCAGACGTATCAGATCAGGCAGTGAGCATGATTATTTTACATATTTTTTTATTTATATCTCCATCTACTGAGGTTGAGGTTTTGGTTTAACCTTGGGCACAGTATTTATAAGACCATTTAATAAGGAAGCAAGGAGAAACAAGGAGCGTGTCTAAATTACTATTTGGGTATTGATTTTTTTACCATCGTCACATTTGGCCAATTTTGTCTGCTATACCCAAACTTTAAAAGTGGATTATTTTCATTAAAAAATCTTTCAACCAAACAGAAGTGCTTCATAGTGGAGACAATGTTTGGACACACTGCTATCTTGCAAAAAAAAAAAACTCTGCTGAACTTTCCAAGCTTCAGTAATTTTAAATGTATTTCTTTCATGCACCATTGGAGTAAAGGTGCACTGTGTAACTTCTTGGTTGGAGGGTCCGTCACCTGTGTTTCTATAGATATGCCATTGCACTGCCTGGAATGTTCCACAGTATGACATTAAACAGCTCTGCCTTACAGATTCAATTACAGTTGGTTTTATAGCTTGAAAATACCTAGAAAAACAGGCGGGGTTGCCTCTCCACAGATCTGAACCATCACTTTTTCTAGTTTGGACTCCATGAACACAGAAATGTTTAATACCCTACTGTGAAATATTCCAGAAAAGCATTTGACGGAAATGTACAATACACACTGTAATATGTTGTACACCTGAACTGGGAAATGTTGTACTGTACCTCTGAAAACACGAACCACCACTGGAGTGATTTTGTGCTGCTTCTCTCATGCAGAAGTTTAATACAATGAAATATAAACATTATCAACAGTATGTTGCATGTGGCTCAAAAACTTGTGTTGACAAAAGATGGCGGAGTACGAGTCCACAACATAAAAAAAAACAAAACAATAAAACATTTTCCTAAACCCCACCTGAAAACAAGAAGAACCACTGGAGTGATTTTGTGCTGCTTTTCTCATGCAGAAGTTTAATACAATGAGGAGAAAGACCGCGAAATCCCCCAAGTGGTGGGTGAAGGCATTACCAATCACCAAAACAAAGGATCCCAGGCTCAACAGTCGATTACAGATATGATTAATGTTACTGAAAAATAAACTAGAATAAACATTTTAATGAACTTTTAACAGTATTTACATGTTTTTAGGCTTATATAAATGAATATTAATTGCAAACCTTTTTACTGTTTTTAATCTCTTAACATGAACCACATCACTGCAACTATAGGAGTATATGCTAACCTGTCACACTCTCCCCCACTTGAAAAATGTTGTCTTGACATTAAACCAACAATCTTCTTTACAGTCCATGTTTACCCATTAGTCTATAAACTCAAGAGCAACCAATATCTGTGGACTTTAACGACTGCTTCACTACAAATACACACCGCACCTTTAAAACACAAAACAGAACTGGGCATTTGTTCTGCAGTAAAAAAAAGATCGCATTAGGAATCAAATATATTTTTCATGGTTATATAAAGACACAGTGCCTTGGTGGAGGTCTTCTATAGCTCATAACATTACTTTTAAACAGCCAATCAGAACAACACCATGGCTCCTCACATATGGCCTGACATTTGTACTTCTCCAACACTCTCATTCAGACTCATTTGTATTGTCTGAGAGTCCCCTTCACCTGGCCCTCTGCACGCTCCGGGACAGAGGAGCCATCAGTGTGACAGAGGGGTGACGGCTGCACCCTGAAACGTGTCACAGCGTCACCCATGGGTGCCTGCCTCTCCAGCTCAACACTTCCACACTCAAAAGTCTCTGCTTTGAATCTTAATTTTAACCTCATCGCTTATACTGTAGTTGGAAATTTCAACATCAAAACTAGAAGATTTTTCTTACATACAGCTAATTTGCTATTTCAGTATAAAGGGTAAAAATTTTGGAATTTTACTTTAACTTATGGAAGTACAATATACATTTAAAGGTGCTCTATGTAAATGTTCATTGCTTTGCCAATTGCTTTGCTAGGAATGTTTCAAAGTATGGTGTTTATACAGTGCACTTTGAACTTTCCCACAATGTTATTTTTCACTTTGTCCTCTATATGCTTTATCTTCCCTCAAAAAACTAGACTGTATATGTGACCAAGCTCCTGATTTCCTTTCTTATATTTACACTGGTCATTACAGCACTGATACATATTGTGGAAGGAGAATCCTGGCCTGCAGCAATGAGAAAGACAAATGGGACTGCTTTAAACACAACACTGGATCTCCGATGATATTAGATAAGTAGAACAATTCCAATGTGACCCCGACAGCGCCCATATGAACTGCTGGTGATTAGCTGGGCCGCACATAGCATAACGCGCTGCTCAGCAATGATGTATGGTAGACCTGGGTGTATTCAATAACAGTTAGTGCGGGCTGAGGGGAGCAGAGAGGGAGGCTCATAAAGGGGGGATAGGTGTAATAAACTGTTATTGGACCTTTGGGGCAGGCCGCTGAGATCACAGGAGCAGGGCACTGGGGTGTTTGGAGAAATGGCCTTTTATTCCTGTTGCTGCAAACCGAGTGAGCTGTATGCATCTCAGGCATGATTTGGGTTAGCTGTGTCACTGTGAAATTCTTTTGTTTTTAATCTACAAGGAAAGATAAGCCAGATGCCCAGTCTAACACAATCTGCACTGTTTATATAGGCCTGACACCACTACTGGCTTGTAATTTTGAAAACAGTAATAATGAAATGTCTATTTCAGTGTAGTCCATATGCTGCACTGTACATAAACATAGCCATAGGCACTTATTGTACACAGTAGTTTTGGCACTGTGTTGTGTTAGATTTTATGTCTTTTATTAAATGTGCACTGCAAAATATTTCTAGTGGTCTGCCACCTGCTTGTCAGCATGGAAATGGTAAAGCTTTGTCTCGAATGATCCGCAGTATAGATTAAATCTACCTATAGCAAGGGAGACAAGGTGGTTACAGCTCTATGCCATATTACAATTCAGATCTGTGCAGAGCCGCACCAGTAATAAATAAATACTAAATGGAAATGTTTAAAGTCATAACATGGAACATTCCAGGCAAAGTAATTACCTCTCCATAGAGACAAGTAAGTAGCAGATCCTCCACCTGAAATGTTTTAATGTTTCACCTTTAAATCCTTTAATAGTTATTATTTATTAGTATTTTTCTTGATTTTGATTGGATGCTTCCTATTCTCTTGCTGTTATTGAAACACAACATGAACACAGCATTGCAACAGTCATTTCCTAATTGTGGGACAAATAAAGGTTAGCTTAATTTATCTTTATAATTGTAGCGATATACATAGTTTTATAACATTTCAAGAGACAGCTGGCAATAAACTTCTGCCACAGCAGACTATTAGAGCCATAGCAGCCTAAGTACTCCCTGGGTTTTTATGTAGAAGTATGTGGGCGAAATGTTTACCTTAAAAACACAAAAGCAGAAACTACACGGGCAGTGAGATTTAAACCACAGCTCTTCTGGGTAATGGCAAACCAACTCAAGATTCAAGAATCAATTTATCATTTTTATGCACACATAAAAACGAGATACTGTTTCGCAAAACCCTTCAAAGTCAGTACAAAAAGCCAATAGCTAAGAACGAACTAAATTGAGTTTAATGCTAGATGCTCTTCTCGATGTTATCTCTTCACTAGACACTTTCAAATGGCACAGAGTACAATGGCGTGTGACTTTTTTCCATTCTAATGAAACACACAGATTCCCTATAGCTCTGTGTGAATGTGAAATGGTACTGACTGCCAAGTGAACCACAACAAAACCATCTGTGCTGTGGAGGGCATTCACTGAGGTGTCGACTGTTGCTGGAGTAACACTGGTGATCCTAACAGTCCTATGTCTGAGAGAGTGAGCACGTTGCATTAAATAGCCTCAAGAATCTACAATATATGTTATCTGTCCACATTATATCTCTGAAAATGTATAAAGCTATTATCAAGGAGGGCTTTGACATTACGCTGATTATGCAAGAATAGAT